GTCCTGGACCCTTTGTGCACGGCAGGAGAGGAAGCTGAACACGCTTCATATGCATTATCTCTGATGTATTTTTGGTACCACCTGGCAGGACAAAGTTCCAAATAGAGTAGTCTTAGAACGAGCTGGGATTTTTTAGCATGTATACATTACTGAAACAGCGACGTCTACGTTGGTTTGGGCATGTCGTGAGAATGGCTGACGGTCGGATTCCAAAAGATCTCCAGTATGGAGAATTAGTGCAGGGAAATCGCCCCAGAGGGAGACCACGGCTGCGATACAAGGATATCTGCAAGCGAGATCTGAAGGCCTTAGGAATAGACCTCAACATATGGGAAACCCTGACATCTGAGCGTTCAGCCTGGAGGCAGGCATTGCATCACGGCCTCTCCCAATTTGAAGAGACCCTTATCCAGCAGGCCGAGGTGAAGAGGAAGTCACAAAAGCAGCAAAATCAGGGAGCTGGACAGGGGTCAGATTGGATTTGTCTTCAGTGTGGAAGAGATTGTCACTCTTGAATTGGCCTCCTCAGCCACACTAGACGCTGTTCCAAGTCCTCCATACAGAGCACGTTACCATAGTCTTTCGAGACTGAAGGATGCCTAACTATCCCATTAGAGCTTTCCCCACTCTTTTGTTGACTATGAGAGCTTCTCCATTCCTTCTATGGGATTCTTGCCCACAATAGTAGATATGGTAATCATCTGGATTGAATTCGCCCATTCCTGTCCATTTTAGTTCACTGACACCCAGGATGTCAATGTTTATTCTTGCCATCTCCTGTTTGATCACATCCAGCTTACCAAGGTTCATAGATCTTACATTCCAGGTTCCTATGCAGTATTTTTTTTTGCAGCATTGGACTTTACTTTCACTTCCAGGCATGTCCACAGCTGAGCATCCTTTCGGCTTTGGCCCAACCACTTCAGTTAGCTCTGGAGCTATTTGTACTTGTCCTATGCTCTTCCTCAGTAACATGTTGGATGCCTTCCGACCTGAGGGTCCCATCTTCCAGCGTCATGTCTTTTAGCCTTTTATTTCTGTTCATGGGGTATTCTTGGCAAAGATACTGGAGTGGCTTGCCAATTCCTACTCCAGGTGGATTGCATTTAGTCGGAACTCTCCACTATGACCTGTCCGTCTTGGGTGTCCCTGCATGGCATGGCATAGCCCCTAGCTTCTCTGAGTTACTCAAGCCCATTCGCCACGACAAGGCAGCAATCCATGAAGGGGAGTTTAAATGCTTAGCAAGATACAAACTTTAAACATCTGTTTTCATCCCTACCTGCTAGTACTGCATTTGACTTGCATATAAAGATAATCAAGTTTTTGTGTCAAGTTTGTGTATGGAATGGATGTTTTGTCTCATGCTAAACCCAGCACAGAGTTGCAAATGAGTTTTGCTGCTGTTGGATTTCACAGTCCTTTAGGACTTTCTACTCTGCACCATGCAAAGTAATTTTTTCAAATGTGATTGCTTGTTCCTGCTGGAGTTTACAGAGTACCAGCTCTCTCACCCTCTTCCCTGACTTTTCCCATGCATCAAGGTTGCAAATGAGGGTTTTCTGCTTCTCTGGATTACAGAAATGGTCTTCAAGTATTTAAACTCCATCTTCTTTCTTGCTGCTGGTCTGCTCATTACAATTTCTGGAACCAGAAAGTAAAAGTGAAACGTTCCCAGTTTTGGAAAGTTCCTCCTTTGAAAACAAATCTGCTAACATCTTGGTGTCAGACAGGTGGTTCTGTGTATAGCTGTATCTGAAACCACATTTTGAAGATGGCTTCTATGAGGACAGTTTTTCATATGCAGTGGCTGGATTTCAAACTTCATCCTGACTTCATT